CACGGCAAAGGGGAGGACGACCACTTTCATGGTATGCCCAAAGCTACCACCGAGCAATTAAATCTTGCAAAACTGTTAAGTAAAACGACAGATGAGTCTGATGTCCAGAGCCGAGTTCAACAGGTTTGTCGTAATCATGCTGAACGATGTTTTTAGGTTCAAGATACAACAGTCTGCACTGTTGACGAGGCGGTGTCCGCCTTGCATGATTGCGACAACGACGTACGTCGTGCAATCGAATACATTCTCGACAACAAGAAAGATGTGGATGATTGGCACGTTACCAGTAAAAAACGCTCGAAGGCTAAGCGCACGGCCGACCAGGTACGTACCAAATTTCCTTTTCAAGCTGCAGGCGAAACCTGAGTCCATTCCAACTCAGGATCCCACGAAGGATGATAACCAGTCTCGCGCAAGCACTGATGATCAAAATGAGCGAACTTCAGGCGAGACTCAGGTAGGTCTCCCTCATTTTTAACCCAAAATATAGGGCAAAAAGTCGGCAAGACAGTCGTCCAATAAGCGTCGCTCCGGAAAGCCGGGTCATCAAAATGAGAATGAAGGTATATCCGCGTCCACACGGAAGGAAGAATGCTCCTCAACCGTCACTGACGTCGACGAGTTTGTTTATGATAAGCTTTCCACGGCGAAATGCGGCGGTACGCGTTTCCTGTTCACCTTCCATAGTTAGGTTTGCCGCAATTTTTGTTTCGAGCGGTCGGCCTAACAGCCATTTTCAGTAACTATGGCGTCCCTAAGCATTAGTTTGTTTAAAGCTGATTTAGACTCTGACCGTTGCCAGATTTCGTAGGTCACCCCTTGTTTTGTTGACGAATAATGTTCGAAATCCTCTGGAATGTCATTGACCCCCCAGTGTGCGACCGGAAAGCCAATGAAGTAGCGCAACTTCGGTGTTTGTTGGGTAAACTTAACGACATTATTTGACTGACCTTGTATTATTTATAGTGGAAAGGCCACACTTACACGGATCTTTGGACACAATGACTTGTTCTAGCACTTGTTTACTGATTTTTAAGCCGACAAGTCATGTATCGTTAACTTTTGCTCTCTCGACTTTATTCCTCGGACCCCAAAGCAACCATTACCGTTTTCCACTCTCGGGTCGTGGGTCGCAAGTGGTTTTTTGATATGTACTATCACGAGCGCCTTTTAACTGACTTGGTGAGGTTGATATTTAGGACTCGTAGTTAAGCAGCCCCACAATCCGCCGTGTATACGGTAACACAACCTGTTCTCCAGCCACCTGTTCCAGCATTACTACAATAGCTTCTTTAGCGGCTTCTTTAGAGGTTGAGTTGAAAAACAGAATGGTCGGAGTCATAACACCTGCACGGGTTGCGGGTTTACTCTTTTTCGGACCGAGCTCGGGGAAGATCGATCGGCAGACCAAGATAACAGATCCGCTCATTCGACAGGTGGTTACCGATGCAAATGCATCAGGATCTACGATGGCCCGGTGTTTTTGTTTTTTAGGTGTAGCTTTTCTCAGGGCGGCACGTTACTTGATAACCACAGCAAATCTAACTGTTACTGACAGTACTTAATCGGTCTAAAGGGGATTGTGCTGCCATGGAGGAGGTCCCCTTTTTAATACGTTTAAGTACATAATTGCTATTTCTACTAAGTATTTGCACTTCTCTCCAGCCCATCCTGTGGTTCCATGCTTGTTTTGATTAGCCTGATTTCCACTGACTTTCTTACACATTACATCAAAGCAATGAAGGTCGTTTCCTAAAAACCGCCTCTTTTACACAGATTGGGAAGTCGAATGCGGCGAATGGAAAGGCGAAGCTATTGAAATCATTAACTCAAACTCGGACTTCCCTGTAAACATTCATGAAGACAGCGAGCTCTTGAAACTCGTCACAACAGAACCCGAAGAACTTCAGGAAAAGTAAGCTCGCCTGCTTTTGTTCACTCGATTTAGCATTCCTGTTGAGGCTCCAGAACCGGAAAAGCCTTCTGACGTAGATCGACCGCCCACACCGCAACCTCAAACTAAGCCACCTGAATCCTCAAAGTCTGTCGCTTCGGCAAGGTCTCTACTCTTCACAAAGTATGCATCCAGCGCGCTTCCAAGGCCTTCATTAATTCCAAATGTTCCCGTTTTCTTCGCACCTGGAGCGCACGCTGCCACTGTCTCTCGTGTCAACCACCCAAGTGCCTATAATTTTGCCCAGCACTCCCCCACTTCTCGACCGAACGCTGGTTATCTAGATGGCTCTGCGAAGACGAAGAATGAACGGCACCAGGAAAAGAAGGCAAAAACGAAGTCAGCTAATTTTGAACATTCGGTTGAAGAGGCGCAACCAAAATCACCGGCTCAGTGCGCTTTCTCGTCTGGTACTGACTCCTTCCTTCCAGCTGTTCCAGAGACACAGCCAGTGCAGGATATCCATCCGGAACGGCCCTTCTCGCCTAAGATGCAAGAGACCCCTGTTCTTAAAGATGCGTATGCCCAATTGCAGGACCGAGATTCCCCACAGAATGTCGGCAGTATGACTTCCTTCGAACCTGCCAACACTTTCAGCAATTATTTATTAGATGAACTGTCTCAAAATATCAACAAGGTCAACCTTGAAACGCACTCTAATAAGGCTGACGCATTCACTCAGTCGCTTTCGTCGAATCAGCCAGACGTCGTATCATATCATCCTGTCCAGTCACTCAAGACCCCCGTTTCGCAGCCACAGTTGGGTAAAGCGACACAAAATATACAGACTACGACGAATCAGCTGCAAATGCCCTCGGGACAGTGTCATCCTCAACTACATCCCAATGTGAATCCGGGTATGCCTCAGCTAATTAGCCAGTTCCACGCTGCTTTCCCAATGTTTAACCTTCATGGTGGATCTGGTGCGGCTCCCCAACTCCTTGACTTGGACCAGATTCAGGCTCTCCAACAGCAGCGACTGTTGTTTGACATGCAGCAGCAGAGTTCCCAGCAAGCTCCGACGAATGCCACAGAACCCAGTATCCCAAATACTTGCTCGGACGTGCTGTCTTCGTCTAAATCCACACCTCCCATGGGTCACGTGACTGCTCCAAATGCTAGCTTGCGACCCGACCTGCTCGCCTCCACGCTAAGTCACCACCAGATGTTAGGACCTACTGCTGCTGCTGCTCCATTCCTGCCTTATCCCGGATTCCTTGTAATGGTAAGATGTTAATTTAGTACTAACTGTCTCCCAGAATGGATACCCAAACGCCTTCCTGAATCAGCAGCAGGCGTCGCAGCCCAGCGTGACTCAGAGCCAGAATCCAGGCCACGGGGGCTCTCCGTTGACTCAACACCAGCCGGCTCAGCAGTATGTGAAGGGCATGAATTCTACATCCAACTACCAAAGCTATCAAGGCATGCGACCGTCGAATTTTGATGATCTGGGCGATATATCGTACCAGAACATTGCCAAACAAGGTGTGTCATTTATTATCAGTCTGTATGCATCCACCCACCATTCTGTTTACTTGCACGGCTACTATGGTGCACTTCGGGGCTTTCTGCGAAGTTTTACGGTAGACGGTGGAAGTGCCTCCCCCTGTGCACATCGGGACGCCGTGATTGATAAACCAGCTTTCAGTGGGGATGATAGCTCGACCGTCGTAACCGACGATTTCAACCGTGTGCTCCACAGCAGGGTGAGAGCAGGCACGGTGACTTGCATGTGATTCCATTTATAGTGATGGTAAACTTGCGCCGCGTCTACTGCACTCTTTCCTCCTTCACCTGGGCCCGGTGTTAAGACATGGTGAAAAAGACCAGAGGCGAGGGAGGGCGCAGATGCATGGCACGGCTGGACCCGCACCTAGTCGTACCACCACACCTCCAAGTTCACAGCAAATGCCTGCCCAGGATTTTAGCTACCAGCAATCGCGACGGCTGCCGCCACTGGAGCCGCTCCAAGGCGTTCCGTTACACCCGGCGTTGATTCCACTATGTGGAAATGCCGTAGAGGTCACACCAAAGATCCATTTCAGCCTGACTCTCAGACCACCAGTCCATCACCCCACATAAACACTGGGCTGTTTACGCGGTCCAAGTTATCCCGTCATTTGGCAACCTAAGCGCGTAAGATTGTTTATAGTGAGGAAAGTGCACTGAGTTGTCAACGTAGCTCTTTTCCCATCCCCAGGCCCCAGCCACTAGTTGTTGCATCACACCGACCCCAGCACTGGTGTAACGTGCCATCTTCACGATGAAGAGCCTTAGAGCGCGTCTCTGGGTAGCTGCCTTTTAGCTGGTAAGGTTGCTATCCGCGGCCAAAGAGTCCGGGAAGCCATAACTGTGCATTATGTATGTAAGTTACTAAGCAAGTGTAAGATAGCGTGTCTGTGTCAGGGCTGCCTCGTGTATTAATCTTGGTTCCTTCAGACTGCGTCATGTGCAACTTGGCAGCTCGTCATGTTCAGTCTCTTTATGTAGGTGATCCTCGGCCGACAGAAGAACAACAGGTCTGAATGACACATGTTTCTGAGAAATGAAACGTCCGACTCCTATTTAGCAGAGTATATCAAAGCCATGCGCATAACTTGGATAGTCAGAATCGTCCAAATCAGGTTAGCAGTGTGGGCCACGCTTCTAGATCTTTACGAGCCAACTCTGTGCCCTACTTATTTTGCCCTTCCATTTCGGTTCCTGTAACATCTAATTGGAGCCTCTTTACTTTAGTAGGATATAAACATGGTGGAAATCAGCAAACCGTTTACGCTTCTCAGGCGGGGCAACCAACCGCAGATTTGTCAATGAGTGGAAAGTTGCAGCAAGCTGGTGCGTGCCCTACCAACATGACCGGATCTCAAAGTCAGTCGCAACAACAACAGCAGCAGCAACAACAACAACAGCACACAGCACAATACCCTCATTCGGGTGGTCAGTTCACTCCATTCTACACACAACATTACTTGACGGCGATGGCCGCCCTTATTGCTCAACACGGCTCTGTTGGGAATACGTCTGGTTGCGGAGGTGTCGCGGGGAATGCACCCATGCAGGGAGCCAATATGGGCTCAGGTCTCCATGGGTCTCCGCCAATGGTGATGGGGTCTGCTGGTTCGGTTATGCATCACCAACGTCCTGGACCTCCGCAACACTAGCATTTGCCTGCATATCATCTGGTGGTCTGTTACTTCACTCATCTGGATACGCCGTCTCATCTTGCAAATACATTGTGTTCACTGTTGCTATAGCCGATTCGAGGCCACCTTAAACTGTAAATTGTCCGCCGCACAACCTTGAAGTTCCTTTGAGCTTTCATCGATTTTACTCTGCCTTGACTACGGAACTGTCGACTGTACATAGCCGGTTACTCTTGTCGTGCCACGAACAGGCAGTGACATTGCATGTTATCAATCCGCCGCACTGGTCGTCTTATTTGTTTTTGGACATTCTGCGTGCTAGGGCTGTTTTTATGACTATTGGAACCCCCCTATGAGCGCTTTGTGAATAAATTGTTGCCTGATAAATACACAAATTGCTGGATCTGTCTCGTTGCCTGCATAGCCTTTACTAAAATTGCTCTTCTGGCAGCGTAATTGGCGACTTTTCCATGTCCAACTGGTATCCGTACGTGGCGGATAGAGGGTATTATGATGCAATCCAGGCAGGCAGCATTGATGGTACCGACGACATACCACACGACAGAGCTGTCGTCCGTGCTTCTCTTGCCCGGTATTCACCAAACGCATCCGCCTTTCCCGAACAAAGATTTGATTTGTGGAGTCCTTCGGAAGATCCTGCGAAGGTGAGTTAATGGCGACGTTTGTTGTGGACATACCTAGCTTATTTAGTTCATTGCGGTGCGCGACACTGGCCGTCTACGTAGGATTGTGCTTCTAAGTTCGGAGTAACTCTTATATCGGCGTCCCTCTTCCGCATGCGCTGGTCATTCTGCTATGGCCCAGGCCCTTGAGTAGGTTTGCATCGGGTTCTTTCAATGGAGATTGTGCGCTCGTCAATTTTATTGCCATTATTTATCGGTCGATCACTGTTCGACGTATAGGAAATGTTCCGATTATCAGTAATCTCGTTTGCCGACTTCCGGCAGTTTCCATCGACCTGTCTGAGGGAGTCGTGCACTCAAGTTTCACCAATGGTTGTAGTTTGTCACGAAGGTCAGTGGCCTAGGACACGTGGTTGTTTCTGACACTGGTCCCGTTTTTATGTCACTGCTTTTGCACTGGGCGTAGCTCTGGACAATTTGGAATGTTGTCTGCTACTTAGTTGCAACCCGGAACGCGCCATAGGAGCCATTTGCTCCCACATTTAAGTTCTAAATACGTCACCTCTGTAGCCGCTCGTTGCAGAGATCTTAGGGGTTGTGCCGTTCTCATCTGAACGACGTGATCTTGGAGTGCGGCGGTTGGCAAACCGGTGCCAGACTAGCTTCCATGTGCCGAACGTCCTTCGCGCCTGTTTAGAGTTTATCTCGGCAGTCATTCCGTATACTCCTTGGATCTGTAGCAGCCGCTCCAGTTCTCCTTTTCTCCGGCTCCGTTTTGTGTGTCAGCGGCCTGGCAACGATTGTCGCGGCCATCGACCGACAAAACGGAGCCGGAGAAAAGGAGAACTGGAGCGGCTGCTACAGATCCCCTATTGTTTCCGCGATTAGCTCGCGTTTGTCGCGCATCCCAAGTTTTGCTTGTCACCGACGATAATTTGGTAAGAGCCCGTCCACCAAAAGATCAGACTCGGATCATCACACTGAGTCTTTCACGGGCTTGGCTGCCAGGACTGCACTAATGTAGGTTGTGCCGCTAACCGGCCTCTACTTCTACTGGAATAGGTTTTGAATAAGTGGTTTGTCCGATCGAAGTCCCCTTATTCGAAGCTTTCCGACATTTTCCTTGTTGCTTGTGACTCCATTTTGCGCGTTCCAGGTGTACGCTGCCACAGTAATAGGTAGTCGGTCCCCACTTGCATATCCGGCTCCACTTCACCGGGTATCGGTCAGAGGTAGCTTAGACATTTTGTATCTTCGTGATCTGGTTTACCGGACTTTCGACCTGCCGAACGCTGCTCATACAAACGTTGCATCCTGTCGATTTTTCTGTGGCACGCTAGGAACCCGACTTACTCGTCAGACCACATAGGTTGGTCGCTCGAATTCCATTCTGCGGGTTTGACGGCGCACAAGCGTGGCCGGTCCTCGACCGTATTGCTTCTGCCCTTTCCTCAGAACTACGGTAATTCTTTCTGGCAGACTCATAGGGTAGTTCTCGTCTCTATCTCCGTTTTCGCCATTTGCCTGTTTGATAGTGGCTTTCCCATTTCATTCGTGGAAAAAAGGCCCGAATATCAGCGACTAATTTTTCTGAATACTGTTCGAGGAGACTATAGACATTAATGAGGCAGATGTGCTGACAGAGATAGGTTGTGGTCAGGCTGCCGTTCGGCACATTTTTGCGGCCTAAGCCGGCTACACCTCAATTCAGTTCAGCAAGGTCTTCAATTGTCTTCGGATCAGTCACTAAGATGAACAAAGGCCTACTGCGCCAAAGGTTTAAACGTGAACTCACACCTTAAAGGGCAGTTTGCTGTCGCCTCCTGCTTGTTCTGCAATCCAGCGAAGTCCTCACTCTCAAGTTCATATTATATTGGCGCGACTGCCGTCTTTGCCTTGTTTAATTTCCGAGGAAATGAGTGCGTGATCGTGGAGTAAATCCTTCGGATCAAAGCTTTTCAGGCACGGTTCGAGTGTTGTTATGAATATTTGGGCTGAAATTTATGAGCTATTGCGGAATAACTGTGCAATATCCACAGGCTGCCAACACGCGGTCAATAGCATACAAATGCTGAATGATTTGCCACATTAAAAGCACAGGTAGTAGGTAAGAGTCTGGACGTGCTTGTTTCGTCGGTCTTGTGCAGTATGGAAGCTGGAGTTTATACATGCCAGAAAGCACATTGGAGCGTTGAGGGACTCGCTGATGTGCCGGACCCCGCTCAGCTACATCATGCGGTGGGACAAAGTCGGCGAAGCTTGTGCCTACACTCTTACTACCTCTGCTGTCAGTATGGCAAATCACTTGGTACTAGCGGGCTAGGGAATGCTTCTTTTTTAGACGAAATGTTTGATAATATTTTGCATACATTCAGACTAAATTATATTGCTCTGTGCTTTGTATGCGGGTGCCAGTGGACGGCTTCCTTACCCCATTGCTTTCCCGCGACCACCCCTGAAGGAGGCTCCAGATGGTTACATCGGAAATCGGCCTGATGGTGCCCTATCAGCTAGCGTGTCTGCGTTTAAGTGCTAGCCGTGTATCCAATTGCGTCAGAAAACTGCCCACTTAGTGAATTTACTGACGTGGTATGATGTGGTATGTTGAATCATCGGAGTTCATGTTATAACTCGTCGTAGGTAATAAACGTGGTCAGATTTTCTCTACATTTATTGACCTAAAGGGTGGGTGTATGTAATTATCATGGACGCTAGTTCACGGCCGCAGGAGTTAGCCTGACTTTGTTTCGATAGAAAAGAACTGGACTGTCGCTCACAACCTTTAATTGGTTAGGGTGATTTTCGTGCTGCGATGATTGGTCTAGATTGGGCGACAGTCACTTACCAACAGCCTATGTGTCGTCGCAAATCGTCCCTTCTCTCCAAAATACAGAAGATTGCCTATCCTTTGTCCCCTGATATTGTGCGATCCATCGTTATCGGCTGTACCACTTAGTTTTCGCCTTTACAATTACAACCGCTAGATTGGCCTAGGTGTGCACTTGGTATTCCGCCCGAGGATGATGCTATCGAACTAGGCTCCCGGGGGGAGGGGGGTGGGTTGAGCGTGGCCGATGACAATAAAGAGGTCAGAACCGGCAGTTCCAGTCTTCCGCGTCCTTTTTGGCAATGCTTCTTAATTATTGAGTGCTCATGACTTTGCAGCTGTCCGCCAGCTCTTCAGGCCGGAACACCAAGGCAGGGCGGGACGTTCGCATCCTGTCCTATACTCGATGGACGTGCCAGTTTTCGACCGACAGGATAGGTCGTTGAGTTCAAGGACCACCTGGACCCTGACCCAAACTTCCGGTTTGCCTGATTAGGCGTCAAGGTATGACTGACTGATTAGGAAAAATAAGTCGGAAATAGCCGCTCTAGTCCTAGTCTTTATCGACGACGCGTTCTTCGTTAACCTCTTTCGTGGCGCATGACATATCATGCTTACAGCCGATAATGGACTCCTTTCCGGTGGGGACAGCCAGATTGTTTCAGCTAGAGGGAAAATAAAGATGAATTTGAGCTCGTCTAGGATCACCTGCGTGTTTAACTTGTGGGCCTAGGTCTAGACCAGAACCACAGGGTCAGATGTGTGTGGCTTTTTACCAGATGAGTTTTTTTAACTGGAGGCGTTGAATGGCTTGACTTGCAGGAAAGCTATTCTCTTGTAAAAGTTACTTTCTTAACAACCAAGCGGAACCAGAGTGCGGCAACCCCCAGAAGGCATCTTGATGTACAAGTGGCCTGGATCCTTCAGTATGATTTGTCTAAAAGTGTGTTACTACGCCGAATCACTCGGCAGTTAGAACAGCGCAGGCTGCATCAGGTCGTGGTTGCAGATAGTGTTTTTTACTCTCTATATTGGGGACCAAACAGCAGCTCCGACTAAGGCGTTCGGGAGGGTGGGAGCACAAAAATACTTTTGGCGTACGGTTGCGCGCGCAGCGAACTCTGACGCCAGTAGGAGGCTCTACTTGGTTTTGAGAGCGGACAACTCCCGTAGGCTTGTCGATGACCGGGGATAGGCTGAATACAACCATGATGTTTTTAACATTCTGCTTGACTCTTCGCTTCTATTGGCAATTCTGCTTGACTGTTTAACCTGGCAGCCCTGATTTCTAAAACCGTACGTCCTGTTTGAGGACGCCCCGCTGAGCACAAGTAGACAAGACTGCTTTCTTCTGCTGCATGACCGGATAACGCAATCAGGGATCGGACACTCGGTCGCAGCGACGCTGTCGATATGCAGGGGGGGGGGGCGGGGGGCATACGTTTATCGGTCTTCCTGGCGTTGCCACGACAACATTTGCGGTCGTCCTAATGCATTCCGCTTGTTTATACTTTGGCGGCCGTCCGAGAGAAAATCAGTTGAACCCTGTGTATGAGTATTTCGCACCTCACTAAAGCCTCTGATCTCGCGACCGCTCACAAGAGCTCTCTATAGTGTGTTTCATTGGTTTTGTTGCCGCATATGTCTCCGACCATCTGATGCCTCAGGCCGACCATGCTGCGTAACATCCCCAACTCCATTATCCCTGAGCGAGGACAAAAGTTCCTGTGAATTTGGGGGGGGGGGAAAATTCAGGGTAAGGTGATACCATACTAACGGCACAGGTACTAGCCACAGTTAATGAATATTACGCGGTTACCCGCTGTGGCTGATGGACTTTGGCCCAAATATTAATGTATAAAATTATTGGTCTGCACCTATAGACCTGGAACAAACTGATCTACTCCAACTTCGTAGATAATTTCAGGGGAAACTTTATTCAGTGCCACCGACGTCTGTTAGGGCTGTACTTTTTGTCAGCATCGTTTAGGTCGTATCACCATGCCTTATTAGAACATCTCAGCGATGACGTAGGTCGTCTTTCGTGCAGCCTGAATCTCAACTGCACAGGAAGCGTCGCAGTTCTGTCCAACCTTGTCGTAAACAGGTACCTATCTTTCCGAGCAATGTCCGGTGACAGCCAGAGTGAGGACGACGGTGAATTAATCGGGAAAAAATTGACTGATGAGGTCACAAGTTTACATTCCTTTTATGAAGTCTGAAAAAGATTCAGGAAACCGGATTTTCTGTCGAACTTCTATGTCGGATTTTGCGCTCCGTGACTTCTTTCCGGACAGGCAGTTTTCGAACCAGTGGACATCTCTTGTTAATTTGGAGTGATTTCCAAAAGCACCGGACAGTGATCGTTTGAGACGTTGCAGCATAGAGCAAACTGAGTCAGTGACGACTGATGCGAACATTGATTCCCAAATGCACCTACTGTTTTCGAGTATCTTTTCATCGCAAACTCTACGGTAAGGGGAGGACAGACGCAAGGAATCTTCTGATTTTTCATGTTGCCCGATTTCCCAAGTCACTTTCTTAGAGTAAACTCCTCCGCCTCATTGATAGTCGCCTCCCTCTCTGGTTCTGGGATACCGCTCAATCAACGGCACTAAATAGCCGGGCTTAGTTCTTTATGGAAAGTTCAATTATCGCGGTACACTCTAACATCATTTGCAACTCAAGGGTAAGGCATATCTCTTGTGCATTGTGATCGGGTTTCTGACCTTTTTGTACTCCTAATCTGAAGCGAATACCAACATTTACCAGCAAATAGGCATACAGGCCAAGATGTTGGCCCCCGATGTAGAAATGCGCGAGAGGTTGGTTTGTTGGTTGATGTTTCGCGTTTTTACACCAATACACCTCTGAGGGGACATAGGCCAGAAAATACACAAGTTGTGTACTGGTTGATCGTTTCTCTCGGTCAAAATGCCGACCGGCCGTTGCTCCCGCCCTATACAACTATCCGCCATAACCTTGGCAACGAAACGCCAACCAGAAACCCGCAGGAGGGACGTTTGTGGTACCAGTATCATTGGCAATATATTTCAGAAGAAAAATTTTGGCCGCACGTGAATTAATTAATTCGCGCAAGATTTTATACTCCGCTTTTTTCGTTCAGGATTTTCCCGGAGGTAAACGTTGAATATCCGAAGCACAGTCCTTCTCAGCATACAACTTATTTTCTATTAATAGGCAGCACATGTCAAGGGCTGATAAAGTAGCTGGGCAGGTTCCCATAGGTACCATATGAAGGGATAACAAAGTTGTGCGTTAGTTATCAAATGGTAGTTATTTAACAATGTATATTCCTCGCAATCTCTTGGGTACTTCCGGAATAAAGGGAATACCACTCTCCCAATCCCTGTTTTCGTTTAACTTGTTTGCCTCTGCGAACGCCCTGTTCGGAGGGATTGCTCTCCGTGGTGCGATGACACCTCTCGTGTGCTGTGAAAATTCAAAATGGCAGCCGACGCGACGCGGGTCTGTGACGTACAAAAACAAGGAACTGGCCGATACCAAGGATAGAAAACCCGCAGACTTAGCTACCTGAGCGCACGCTATCCCTTTTGACGGGAATTAAAACTGGCAGCGCGTGGACTGGAGCCACTGCGTCCAGTCTGGCCTCCCCAGTTCAGTTTTTTCCATGGAGAATGGATGGAGGGGGTGAGACCTGCGCTGCACAAACCTTCGCATGGTGGAGGAGTCATGTGTAAGTCTAGGTAGCGACGTTTCTTAGTGGAGACGCTGAAAATGTCTCGGTTGAGGCGTTTTAGCCCGGAGGACCCTAAGGCGACACGCCACCGTTCAGGTTGGCCAAAACGGAATTTAATTCATAGGTCACAATTACAGTTTGCAACTCCAGGTGGCCGTGTTTGCATGCTTAGTACCCATTGAGGTGCAGGAGATGCGTCTCCCACTATCAAGGCATCTAGGCCATTCACACCAGGAGGTTCTTGCAATTTTGGTAAGTTGGATTGACTCTAAGACGTTGATGTACCCTTCAACGTGTCTTCTAGTTAGTGAGTCTGGTAAAGCCCTACAGGTAGACTTTTGCGTTCTGATTGTCTGGTCATGGTGCACCAGTGTATAGCTCTACCCTCCACTTTTGTCGTACTCATGTAGGCACTTGAACTTGGAAAGTTGTGAATGGAGCTACTAATCGCCTCAAGGTCGTTGCTTCCCCGAAGCTGAGCTAGAAGAACAGTAGTGGCTAACTGGACAGGGGGTCCTGTCCTATTCCACGCGACAGCAATGATGACGGTTTTCCGAGGTTTTTAAACCAGGTCATAGTTAGTATTCCGGCCAATGACACGAAAATCTGCTAAGGGGTGTTTTCTAAGTGGGGGAAACTAGCACGGATGTTTCTAGTTTATTTACTATCGTCGACTGGTAGTTCGACCGTCGTTGCCGACGGTGTCTGCCGTGTGTTCCACAGCAAGGTGAAGCAAGGACGATGACTCGCGCATGAATTAGTTTATATTGACAGACTTGCGCAGCATCTACCGCACTCCTCCTCCCCTACATGGGCCGGTGTCAATACATAGCCAAGACCGGAGGCGGGTGAGAGCGCAGGTGGACGGCACGGCCGAGCCCACACCTTGGCGCTGCACTCCACATCCCATGTGCACACAGCAAATTTCCAGGATTTTAACCAACAAAAATGGGGCGGTACGGGTTCCAATGTGCGTGACGTCAGCCGGCAACTGGGCCCGCCATCGCGCTCCCGAAATGTTGACATTTGTTGTGGTGCGCCTTCCCGATAACGCCTGCCAGAATCCGATGTAGCCCCCGTGCTGATCCAGCACCCCTACCACGTGGCCCTTTTTGGGGGTACATCGTCAACCAACCGTACACTAACCCCGGCAGTTGAAGATCTGTGGCTGGGGCCTAGGTTCAAAAAACTATTGATTCAGACTGCAATTTGGACCAGGGACTCACACCTCATTGGCTATATCGGGACTATTGTGTTACAGAAAAGTGACCTTCACTGTTTCACCATGATCGGAGGTAGAGTACAGCCCGTTCTGCCCTGTTTTGTAGTTGCAAACTACTGCTCGTAGGTAGTCCAATGACAGCCAGAGGCAAACAATCGAGAGGCGTAAGACAAAACGGAGCAACCGTATTCCACCATACAATAGGGATGAGTCAGTAAGCGCCATCCCCATGTGCCCGTACAATTTTTCCGTGTCGATACTTACAGGAAGACAGATTCCTCGTTAGCTCTGCGGCTGGATACCCAGCGCGTCCACAGATGGTTGATGATGGAACGGCCTTCAGCGACGGTTAACTGCGAAGTAAGCAAACTTGAGTCGGACGATTAAGCAGTCGCGACCTAGAAGCAACAATGCTATCAGGGTGTGGGAGCCCGAGGTGTGGTACGCCAACTGTTTTGTACAGTATCGCAAAGACCGATACTGGCGCTGTGACATTGTGACCATTAGCCACTATTAAATCAGCTTGCTTCCCACCGCTGCCCTTTGATTAGGCTCTGGAGCCAAAACACCAGGGGAGATAACCCCCAACAAAGAATCCAAGAGGCTGTTCGTGACTCGCCTGTATACAAAATTCCCAATAACCCGATAGAAGTCTCCGACTTCTACGTTGTCAAACCCGGCTAGATCATGGATGAGCGCATTTCTACCAAGTACGACGTACAATGTATGCTACTAGAAGCGCAGAAGCTAGTTCCAGGAAGTGGGTACAAGGAAGGAGACGCGATCGCTGGGACAATACTAGCAGTGAAAACCCCACTCAATTGAAAGAGGTGTTGCGGGAGGGATAGGTTGTGTAACCCCACTGTTCAATATGTATAACTAACTACTATATTTGTCTTAGTAAGCCTTGCTTAGTTTATCAACTAATGGCTAGAGGAAGTCGCCTAGCACACTGATATAACCACGTGAACCGAGTCGTTCCAGTGATACATTGTCTGGTATGAGGCAGCCCTCGGCTTTCGTTCCCCCCTCTGTAACCCGTTTCTTTCAAAAGGGTGACTATGCATTCTTGCGTCATATCGGTACTCATAGTACAGCGCGTGCTGTGAGGATCGTCGGCTGCGTTTTGGTTTACCTCGCCTCAGTTAAATCACAACCGCTCAGCTTCCACGACATGTCCAAACGATGTCTGTTGTCGGACTTGTACGCTATGAATAATTTACTTCTTCGAAAAGACCAGCTTAACCTTCTTGTGCCATGTCGGTACTCACATACAACGCCGGCTCTAAGGGTCGTTGACTGCGTCTTGGTTTACTTTGGCTCGGTTGGGACACAAGCACTCAACATCCATGATATCTCCAAACGGTTTCTATTGTCAAGCGCGTACGCCATGGCCTACTCACTTCTTCAGGTATACTTGTGCGTAGCCCGTCTCATAACCTGTAAGACTGCAGCTAAATTCCGTTACAAATGGTCGTCAAATTGAGTTCAAGAAGGAGCCATTCAGGTTTCCCATTTGGGAAGCTGTTGCACCGGATATACATCGCAATATACGACAGGAATATTTCCTACGCTTGCTTCAAACCTGCGCTGTCTAGGCCAAACCACAGACGATATTGAGCTCCGTCTACGCCGGCCCATATTATTTAACCTGGCACCGGAGCCTTTAGAGCTTTCCCTATTCGACATTGGCCACACCGGAATACATATCCGTCGACGTGAAGCCTAACGTACTGCTACGCTAGATAGCAGAGCCTTTGTCTGGCAGTATTTTACCACCTTCGAGTTTATAGCTTCGGTTATTTCTTCCACTCTGATCAGAAGATTGTCCGACTGTTCTTTGACCTTTAGCTGATATTCCGTATTTTAGAAGGAAATAAAAAACCATTAATACCCATTCTGTCTATCAATGTATCTCATTATTGTGCATAATCTCTGAACAAAAATATTTGTTTTCCTTAAATTTTATTTTACCGTAGTCAGTTGACTTGTTATGAAGATGCAAACAGAAGTTCATACTTACGTTATTTGGTTTTTTCCTTGTTCATTAGAGTGTATTCCCATAACTTCTCTAATATTCATGTGCATCACGCCACCTTGCAGTAAATTTTCACGGTTGCTATATTTGGCACAGGCTGTTCTTCTCTCTTGCTCGTTGTTCGTTTTATTGACCCCTGGTCTGTCGCAACTTTGCAGATGGCGGATTATTCAATTACTTTTCATTTTTTGCAGACTCTTGTTTATCTGTTAATTAACGCGCTCGCTTTCGTTGCTATATACAGGCGCAGAAGAAGAATTTCAGCGGAAATATGTATATTTTCTTAGTGTTATCGTAGAATTTCGCTCCCCCTACGCGGTGATGCCCCACCCGTAAAACCCCTTTTACCACCACTCCCCTATTACGCGAGCCTGGGGTTACTAGTTGCGAAATGCGGCTACACAACCTACCGTTGCCGGTGTTGTATTTTGGGCCTGTCTTAGAGGCAAGTAGATATCACTATGTCTACAACGGGTTATATGAAGCATCGTTGTGTTTCCCTTAATGTCACAATGCCCGCGTTTGAAGGAGTACAGGCAGAAGCTGTGGAGGCATTATCTTTTACAGACGCACATACTTGACTCATTTTGCTCCAGCTGTCAGGTCAATCGTGAATGGCCACACCGCCGCGTAGATTGCACCTGTACGCTGGTTGACCACCAAACACGACATTTCGACCGTTGGTCCCGACGATGTCCACCGTGTGCCCCACAGCGGGTGGGTGCAGGCATAGTGACTTGCGCGTGAATTAGTTAATAATGATATTGGACTTTCGCCGCATCTACCGCACTCCCTCTTCCCTACCCACCTGGACCCGGTATCAAGACAAAGGCAAGAAGACCGGAGACGGGATCAGGCACAGGCGACTACCGTGGGGTGAGCTTGCGCCTACATGTGCCAACACACCTGGTCTGTTGTGCGGGAGGGACGTAGGAGCTGATGATGGTAGCGAGTGTGGCTCCCCGAAGAGGTAGACGGAGGGTCATTAGTCGGTCTTTGACGCCCTGCGGCAGAAAACGGGACAGTCGTCTAACGATGTCGTTCTGGATGGCAAAGGCGACGCCACCTTCGCATCGCTCAGTCTTTGGCCGACTGCCCCAGAGAAAGACGCAGCCGGCAACCAGCTCCTCTAGTTGACCCTGTTCTGAGAAGCGTGCGCACACGCACATAACGTTCTAGATGTGCGCTTTAGTTCCTGTAACAAAGTGGGCACTAGCAACGAAACATAATGGGATCCTTTCCATGATCAGTGAAAAATTCCTCTGTCTCGTTTTCCCCTACCAGGGATTCATACTGGAGGCTGGGAAGATTTTCTGCCAAAGACCAGCATGCCGCCGTATACAAATAGTCTTCGGATTATGAGACATCTTAATCTATTGCGACACGCTGAGGGCCGTGGCTGGGAAGGTTGCCAACTCACATGATGACTTGGCCGTCGTGGTCAGTTCTGTGTGCATGTGTTTGTGTGTGGAGTGACTGAATGTAAGACTGTGAGTCAGACTCAGTCGCCTTTTCCTAAGGCGGCCTTTATGGTACTCTTACTGGTGTGAATTCCGAGACCCTTTCACGAAAGCTTAACACGTGCCACGGGGACCAGTTCGCGTGTGATACGCGCAGACTGACCGCTTGGCTTTGTCAGCCACTTTATCCGAGTCCGCCTCTGATCGTCCTGACGGTGTTTTGCCATCGAGTCCAGGTGAGGCTAGGGGGAGAGAGCGCGATAGATGCTGCGCAAGTCTACCATTACTATGAATTGAATAACACGTAATTCGCCGGTGGGGCGCACGGTGAACATCGTCGACGGTCGAACTGTCAGATGATGTGTACCTATCAATTTTAGGCTACACTCTTCGTCGGAAGGCTGCCACGTGACGTGAACTACCGACAATTACGTAAAGCTATGGCACGCTTAATGACAGCCTCTATGTCCCGCCGAGACAGCAGCTCCCCTCCGCGTGGAGATTCCCGCAGCCGTCGTCGGCACTCTGCTCGGCAGCGTTCTCGTTCTCCTTTTGCCGGTCGCCTTTCTCCCACAGAGTCTGGTGCGGAGGAAAATGTGGCGGTTGACCGCGATGACCCATGGCCGCTCGTCCGCGTTGTGGCCAATGTCATCACCGGCGAACCCTGTGGCTACGCCTTTGTTGCGCTTCCAACCGCCGCGGATGCCGAGCGCATGCTGCAAACATGGCGGCGGGCCAGCCGCGTGGACAGATCCACTGACCGGCGTCGAGCACCACCCACTGGATATAATCGCCACTCCGGTCGTCATCCAGACACCGAGGCCGACCTTACAAGGATCTTCCGAGGTGTGACAGGCTGGGAACAGGTAGGAGTTTTTAACTCTATTGTCCATCAATCTTTTACTTTTAATTAATAAAAAGTTCTCACGGATATAATGGGTATATGAATGGGCCTATCGGTTTTTGCACGCTGCTCACCTGGGGTAGTTTTAATTTAGTATTTATTTCCGCCTTTTTTCGCGCTAGAATGTTCATTTGGGGGAAACTGGACAGTTTCATACCATTTGGCTACAAAGAAGCCGACATTCTGCACAGAAAACGTTTGCAAATTAGTGGATATCTTCATCAATAACAGTTGGGATGAAGTTTGCTTGTGCGTGATAATACTGAGGGAAAGACTGCGCACACACGTTGGACGTTTGTGGCCCTCATCCCCTTTGAGGGAAGAACTACTGGGAGTAGAAGACAGGATCACTCGACTAGATGTTGCTGCACAGCCCACACTGAACCTATGCAACCACTTTACTGTTTTCTGTGTGCGACTTTGCCCATCTTTGCACCCTGGTAACCAACATCTGAGCCTTACTTTAGGCGTATAATGTCTTCCTTGCCTTCAAATGCTAATCCAGCATGCATGGACTTGCGTCCCGCGTTATTCTTTCGCTTTCTTCGGTTTTGGTCTTTACCATGACGGTAACTGTTAAATGTGCAGAAGAATGTTGATTATTCGGGTTTTCGAACCATTATCGTCCAGCAGGGGACCAAATATCCTCAACAACTTGCCCATCCTACTCCCTAGGCTTTGTTGTGTGCAGGAAGGGCAAAACAACCCTGCCGACGCCCGTCCTCGTTTTCCGATGGTTAACCTCGACAGTGTCGCATTTTGGCACGTATTCTCCTTTAAAAGTTAAGTAAGACAACACTGTGACATCTGTGGAAGAAAGCCATCGAAATCCAGGAATTTAGGACTGGAACAAAGACAGCCAACTGCGGAGATGATGGCTTTAAATATGCGAGCTTAGACGGTAAAGATTTTCTTCCTTGAATGGACGCAGAATCTTTGTTTTAGCGTGGCTTCACACAAAAAGTTAATCAATAGGGGACATTGTTCGAATTTTACTAAAATTTTCCCTGGAAATATGGGGATTGCGTCGACGCGGAGAATTTTCGACGAAAATATTTTTGGATACGAACAATCCTGGTCTTCAAACGACACGTTTATCTACCCTTTCTCCTGATTCCTTTCTTGTAGTGCCACTTTTGCTATCGCACGACCCAAGTAAACATTATTTAAACATGCTTTGAGAGAATTGCAGGTGTTCTTTCTGTAATGCTGACTTCCAGGTCACCTTGACAGTTTGCAGGTCAGTGTAACATCGCTATCTTCAGTTTATGTACTCTTGCTCCTTCACTCTTTTTGATTATGAAATGTCTTTTTCATTCAGGCCAATCCCATTCCGTATTACGTCTGATAGTTTATCTGGGCCAATCGCATAGGTTCCAGAGCTTACCTCCTCCCAAAGTATGATGTCCTGTCACACGTCATAAAGTTTCGTCCTCAACTTTCTGTCGAACAATTTCTTATTATGCTCAAAATCCCAGAAACTACTGGGCACCAAAGACCGACGAGATTTTCTTCGCTCAGCGTGATTCCCAGCCTGCTTCAGAATGTAAAATCCAGTCTCCCTGGTCTTTGTCGGTAGCGCTATTCTGCTTTTGTTACGCGCCGCTGTGCGGCTGCTGGCGGGGCTTGAGAGGGAGAGAGCCCAAGGCACAACGGAACGAGTGAGTTCCGTAGCGCAATCCGTGAGCGCTCGTCTACCAATGTAACATTCATAAAATTAACTTAAAACGGCATGAAACTCATTTTGCATGCCAATCAGGACTTTAAAACTGAATTCTCTTGCCTATGGCATGGAGAGAGAAGGCAACGAAAGGAAAAACACGGATATAGTATTCTTGGGCATGTACGTGAGCGCTAAAGGTCGCCGGCCCGATTATTTTTGCGTCATAAACCAGCTGTCCAACAGGTCGTGGTGACGCTGGTTTGAATTTGTCAGTCGAAACCATTTTACATCCAAATGCCGCGCCCTTCCTACTTCCAGGCCCAGATGGACTTCAGTGACTGCTAGCCCGGCGACTCCCTGTTTCACTGGGCTAAGACTACAATGCCCCGATGTTGACAACCCTTACCAGAAGACCCGTCTTTAAGTCTTGGGAAGCCTATAAAGACTTCGCCTGTTTAACTCCAAAACCATTTTATCCTATCGGATGTTCCCAGTACGGACTTGCTCTGCTCTGTCTAGAGTAGCTTTAACCCTTCATGGAAATCGAAGATTAGTAAGCTCGCTTTACCGGATGACATTGCAACGAACGTTTGAAGGGTGTGCCTTCATTCGCGATCCTGCAGCACAACTTGAGCTATGACCTGCTGGGTATCCAACAATGACGTCTTGGCGTATTCTTCTGCTCCTTTAGTGTTACGTCTATTTTTGCTTATTTGAATCTCACCCAGAAGGCTCGCTTGCAAAAAAACCTGCGCAATTATATATACAATGCCGTGCCAGCAGGTACTGGAAATAGTGGTTTCGGCCGCCGCTTATCTTCTTATTGTACTACAGAACACACGTTAACTGAATGTTTATTGCAACTTCTATTTTGTTTTTCCCTGACAGCCACATAGCGACGGCATGTGTCATAGGTCTGATGACAGGACGGCTTCTTTACTTGTAATCCGTTGACAGCAGCCACCTTCCACTCACTGTTGTATTTTTCTACGGGCGCTGATATATGATAATGCGACACCTGGACTACGGGTTTACGCCTTGCTGGCTGCTTTTGTATAGCGAGCTGTCATCGCCAAAATTTCCAGGTCGCCCGTTGGTACACCTGCCCCTAGTTGGGCCGTCAGATCTTCACACGCGTTTACTAGGGAATACATTTCGGCAGTCGTTCGGTCAGGTTGCTTCGCGCATCATCAATCTTTAGCCTCAAGGATACGATAACCGTTGTAGATGCTTTATGTACCGCAGAGTCCCGAACACCCTTGAATAAAAGTTGCGCCTAAGTATATGCAAGTCCATGCGCCCACCCACACAAATTCCTACCAATACAGCAAGCACGACTATCACCATAAGCTTTGCTGTTACGAACCACTCACTTCGAGGATCAACCGATGTAGACACGCGTGGTAGTCTTGGTGCAACAGACGCAGTCATAACTTCGTGCGTATTAATGGTGCTGAATTAATTCTGCTCATGTCTGATTCATCCGGCCTCAATTTCACTGGGAATCGTACATCTCCGCGCTCGACGATCTGCGGCAGCGTATCTGGGGGGCTAGGTAAATTCTCTTCCAGCGACGGAGACGGACAGAAGGTCCAAGAATCATTTCTATGTCCTGGCGAACTGTGTCGAGCTAGGTCTTGAGTATACCTCCTCTTCGACATCTCCAATTGGACAACCGCGCTGGGCTGAGGGCAGCTCCTCCGAGCTCACGAGGTGGGCTACGAAAAACATGACCAAAGCATCTCAGTCGTCTTTTTTCGGTGGCTCAGCATATCCGCACGATGTTGTTGTGGCGACTGCGGACTGTCACATTGGAAACCATGTCAGCAAACTTAACTAGAACGATGGTCCAGCACCTGCAGTCCTCACCCATTTTTCACATGCCCACCTTAGCATCCACAACCATATAGGACTGACCGAACAGATGTTCTATACACGCGGATCTTTGTGGCTATGGAGATATTGCCGAAGGTTCATAGATTCTTTCTAAGGACTCTGAAAATCCCGCGAGCAGCATAGATTCCGGAGGCGATGTCGTCCTTACTCTGTTCATTTGGCAACAGCTTCACCCCAAGGCATTCGAAACCGTCTATTTGACATTTATCAATCCCGAGGGGTGCCTTCTCCTGGCCAGGGAGGCATCTCGAAACCGTCAAAACCGTTTGAGGCTCATCCCAACATTCGGTCAATGCCGTAGTTGAATTGGCTACGGGATACGGCGTTGTCGAACACCAGATTGAATACCGAATGACTGAGAGATACTGCTGTGGCCCAGGACTCGCGCAGGGGTGGGACGCTAATGAGCCCTAGCCATGGCGATAATTTTTGTTGGCATACCATCTAGTTTCATTCTTCACTACGGCCGCGCGTTGAACAGAGTCGGACGCTAAAGCGACATCAATAATGCGAACGGCCGTCGATTATTGGTAGGTAGGACGGAATTCAAGAATGCGTCGCAGTATAAAAATCTGGTCGGCGCATTCACGTCCAGTTTCAGACCCGGCTTAGTTGGGTTTTGAACTCGACTTCGCACACCCTGAAATCGTCTGAAAACAGCAGTGGCGAAAACCTTTGTAGTAACATCGGAGCTCGCACTGAGGCAGTTCTTGCACTGTCTTATTTCTTCTTGAAGACAACCACAAAGATTACCCAGTCACGAGCATCGGGATTGAGAGCATCTCTTTACGATTGTTTCATCGCCCCATAAAGCCAGGCGCAAGTGTTGAAACGAGGTTTGTAGGTTTCAGTCCATATACCCTACCCCCTGTGTCTTGTTTTTATAGAGCCTCCGTACGGAATTGGCGATTTCATCTGGCGGGAGGAGGTGGTCACGAATAGACTGGAGAGGGACAAACCTCCGCAGCGGAGAGCGAGGGCGTGATGGATTGCTTATCGAAGTTGCGAGGGTGTTTGGAATGTTCACGCCAGCGTTCGGTCTTGACCGAGTTGTTGGCAATAAAGCCACCACTCACATCTAGAACAATAGCTAAATGCAAAGGACCCACCACTAATTTGGCGGACAATTTTGTAGAGTTTCAAATGTCATCGGCACCACAGAGGTCGCGGTGTCAGCTCAATACTTTTACGGCTATTTCTAGTCGAATTTCCCCGTCATCTTCCAGAGTTGGCGGAAAGAGTTACCGTTGCAGGGCCTAGCTCAAGCCATCTGCAGAGCCTGTGTTAGTCCAAGGATTTTCTCAGCTGCCTCGCAGACTCATGACTTCAATAATATAACCATTCGTTACTACCCTCGTCTTCGACTCTGTTCGTAAATAGAGACCGGATCTCTATGCTCAACGTCTCTGCTGCGCTGTATTGTCGTAGTTTGTGACGTCAAGGCGTCTTATACGTGTTAGCTTGGGTGCTAGTGAGAAGTGAACTCAGGCATATGCGAACAGGAACATGGTCTGATCCATGGGCGTCACCTGTTTCCTCACCCTATTGAGATCTGTTATCATGAATCCTCGAACCGATTAGAATGTAGTCACTCTGACTGGCTGTACGGTCATGGTTTGAATCGACCTCGACAATAGTCAGATGATCACGACGAGAGAGTCCTTTAACTAATTCATTTCGGTTGTGCATAGGCCAACTGTTCATCGACTGCTTTTCACACTAGCAATCAAGGTTCGCTTGTCGCGAGAGTACCTGGTAAAAGAGGGTACTGCAGACTTCGCGTGATGTTGGTTGCGGCCATTAACTTGTCGTGTTTGTCTTGCCGTTGACCTTCTCCCTGCGTCAGAGCGGGCACACTTTCTGCTCCACGATTTCCAATGTTCCTCTGCCAATGAACTGAACAGCAAGCTCCGAATTTGTTTTGCTAACGTAAGCGAATTACAGAAATCAACAGGCAAGGCAAAACATGGGTTCAAGTCTGACTGCCTGAAGACGTGATCAGCTTCTGAGGTCTCTAAAAGACACCTCTCGGAACGATTGATCGCTGTCCGTCAGGCCGTTGTTGTGACTGATTCATTATGCAAACGTCTTAGGTTGGTGAGTGGGCGTCTATTCTCGATAGCGGTCACAGGCAAACGCGAGACGCCGGATGAACAGTTTCTGGTTCGGGATCACAATATTTGATTTTCGACCTTTTTACTGAGATCTATGATCTGACTCACACTCCTTCAGATGCTCAGACGGCTGTCAATATTGAATATTGTGGGTAGAGAACGGCCACATTTGCGCTCCTGTAGCAAGCTAACTTTGACGTCATGGGTTGAGAAGAGGGAATTTCATGACGTCAAAACGTGGGACAGCCTGCTGGTGAATCTGACCTAAGTCGTTTTCCCCGACTCACTCATGCTTGGAGAAATCTGATTCACTTGGATACTTTTAAGCAAACTGCTCTAGTGTAACTTTCTGTACAGGGGGCTGAGTGTTTGCTTGAGCCTTGTGCCACATCGACCATTATTTTGACTTAAAATGAGTATTCCGTTTAGTTCCACTGGTAGAACTACTGGAAAATCAAAAAACGACGGATGCTCACTCGGCAGCATCTATCCTTCGTGAAAAACTATCGCATTCGCAGTTGAATTTGTTAACTACCAGCAAAATATCTTTCTTATTGACTCTGTTATAGATCATCCTGGAGCCTGCCTTCTCCCGAACCCTACCAGGCTGGAAACCTCGATCTCTTGGCGGCGGACTAGGCGGTCGAAAGGAATCAGGTCAGCTGCGTTTTGGTGGGATCGCCCGACCTTTTCGTCGACCCTTCACCTTCACGGGCCCGGATACAACCACATAAAATGGTCATCATGAGTAGCAAGTGTACATACATTTTTGACGTTTTGGAGCCTCGGCTTTTTTCCATCAAATAGACGCAAAAATGAACTTTCTCCTTTTTACTCGAGGCGTACTTACACGCTTCCCGATGGCGAGCCCGTACATGCTCCTGTTCCTAAACAACTAACAAATGGTGATTCTGAGAATGAATAATTAAATGGAAAAAGAAGCAGTAATGACTGTGTTGCCTACGTACTCTGGGGGAGGAGGGTTCTAGTCAATGAATTTCGGTTAACATCTCTTCCACGATCCAGAGACGGCCAGGATCCCAAAATCAGCTTGACACACGAATTTTCGTGTCTTTGCCAAACGAGCAGGAAGAACATCGAGTCAAACAAGGGGACGGAGTTGGCCTCACAGTCCAGCCCAACCAATAAAACTTACATGTTGCTACTTTGAACTGTGGCATGCGCTATAAGCAGGGGCTGGCAACAGCAGCTGTTCCCGATTATGACAAATTTCAGGAATTTAATAGTAGTGTCCTACGGAGAGTGGGGGTTTTGCGCCAGTTCGTAAAACGACTTACACTTTGTACAATCTACGGACACTGTATACACACGATGGACATCGTCGGCACCAACAGTCAAACTGTCGTATGGCTGTTAGATGCGGATTTGAGTCTTGAAAATTTCAGACTTCAGTTGAATTCATAACTTGCGAAGGAAACAAAGATAATAAAAACCTTATAGAAACACAGGAAACATGCGAGGAACAGGAAGTATTCATAGGTTTGTTGCCGAATCGAACGCTGAGTGACATATAGTGGAGTTGCCGCCCTAGATGCTGCCCAGAGTACCGTGAACTTCACCTTTCTAACCCGGTCTTCAGTCACCCAGGAGAGGAGAGGGTTGGATCAGTCAAGGTAAATGTGTTCTCGATAAGGGATTCGAGTTGGTGTCCCCGTTGGACGTTGTCCTTTCACTGACTTTCCAGACCCGCGCTTGTATGAGTGTGACTTAATACCATAGCACCTATGCTGGAGCTGTCGCGCTTAACCGCGTCGCTCACGCCATATCCGTCCACTTGCCTTCAGTGCATATACAACAGAGAGGATCGCGCGGCGATCTACGGATTCAGGCTGGCGTATCGGACTCCAAGCGTCTGCATGGCCCTCGGGCGTCCGCAGTTCAAAGGTGCGTACAGGCGTGGCGGTGCGTTCCCCCACCCAAGTCACAAGTTCTAACGTTTTCACTGTCCTGGTACGTTGGTTCGTGCACGCCTTCAGCCGCCAATTACAGTTACTGACAACGATTACTCCGTTGAGGTGCGCTGGTCGACAACCCGGGGGCCCCCAATTCAAAAGTCAGGGAGGCCAGATTTATAGGACAAGCTCTACTGAGACGAGAGAGAGAGCGAGAGAGAGAGAAAGAGCGAACACGCAGCTCAGCAGGCCGTTTCACCGGGCGAGTGACAACTGTTGTGGGGTTCTTTGCCCCGGCGCGGAGTGCATGCGTTCACCCGGGGTGTGTCTGCCTGCGTAGCCAATCAGCGAGGGATGCAGCTCCTATTGACGCCAGGCTCTCGCCACACCGCCCCCATCTTAGCGGCGACTCATGCGATGGATTGACAGGACGTTAGACGGACTGATGGCGGCACGAGGGAGCGGCCACGCCGGTGATAGCGCGAACAGACTACCGCAATTCTGTACGGTCTCCTCGTGGTAGGGGATCCCACAATCGCAAGACTTATTGTCGGATCGTTGCCCCCGGCCTGTGGGTGGTTCTAGTTCTCAAGGGGTTTGGAATACAAGCGACAGTGTCTGTCGGATAACGGGCGACCTTCGAGGTTTGCCGTGTGGTCTGCACAACCCTAAACAGGTTCTGTGGTTCCCCTGCTCTAGATATTCGAGTTCGCAGCCTTGTTTCCACTATTATTTACAGCCATCTCATAATGAATTTTTTTGTATAATGCATAGTTTCGTTGCGAAATCGGTACCCAAGGCCCGGTGGTTTTATTCTGGCATACTGTTGACCTCAGGGTCCTGCCACCCTGTCTGCAGAATGAGTTCTTGAAAACACTTCTCCCACCAAAGCGACCGCTACCAGCGTGATAACCAGCAGCTTGAGAACCGTTCCTACCACCGTTACAATGAACGCACCACTATGGTCACAACTACCAAGCAATAGTTGTTTTTTTTTTTTAGATTCTAACCACACCATAACACTAGAGCCGGTGTGTTTTAGTTGCACTCAAACTGAGGTCAAGCACGAATTACCTCGAGAATAGTCGTGGGTGAGATAAGTCTCGCAGGAGAAGGCGTGCGTTAAAGGCGAACGGAGCTTTGCTCGGTCCATGGCTACCTCAACGCCATTACTGAGAGCAATATTCAGTGGCGGTCATGAGTTTGAATCATGCTTCTGTAATATCTGCGACTGCAAGGTGGGATCCGAATTGAACAGCCGCCCTTTGCTTGCCTGCTGCCATCACGCAGCTATATCTGAAAACGACCAGAAAGCTATTTGATAGTTTGAACACAGTATTAAACGAATGGGAATGATCGGAGGAGCTACATGCTCGAGTCTTTTCTGGTCAGCGGTTTCTGCTGTGGGACCAAGTATGGTGCCGTGGCGACCCAGTCTTCTTCATATTTATTTGCTATTGGGAATGCTTTCCAATCGCATAATTAATACTTCGACTTCAGCACACACCGAAGTTCGAAAGCATTTTTTCATAACTGCCCATTCGCGTCAGCTCTAAAAATTCTAATTACCCCTGCTACGCATAATTGCAAGCGTTGGATTGTTTCTGCCAAGAATTCCGATTTCCAAATTCGAGGCAGCTAACACACCATACAACCGGCCGTTGGCTGCGGTAGGTCGAAATGGTTGACGCCCAGTGTAGCTGTAGATCAACAGACGTCATGTAATTGACGAGATGGGACTAGTAAACTGCGCCTCCTATTGTGAACGTCTATCTGTTCGTTGAAGAATACCATAAAAGCGCATGGAAAGAGGGCAGAGAAATAAAAGGCACAGAGACGAATGGTGTGAATTATTATACATAGAAACACGTGGTAGGTCCAGAAGGACCACGATTAGAACTGGACGTGACACATTCACACTGAGTAATTCCTTCAATTACCATTCCTGATAAATACGTGTATCTGTGGCTTTCATTGAGGAAAGGAACGGTACAGGCATTTGGTCTGATTTCAGCATGGAAAGCGGATGAATGTACGCCATGGGTAATACCGGCGTTCTGTGCAGATCATAAAGAAGATAGAAACGCACACATCAGGGTTACCCAAAGAAAGGGGAGTCGGCTCGGATCTCCCATGTGCTAGAGAGTGTCATTAAGAAGAAGCCAGGGGTGAGGGGGTGTCCAGTTATGGCTCCACGTGACGGTCGCTCACTTGCTTGCAGGTGTTGACTACGCCTAGCATACACTAACTGGCACCCGACTCCCACATGTGACTCCCCAAAGCTAGGATTTGCCTCTTAGTCACACCCCGGCAACCGCCTCGACCGGCGGGTCAAACCATGCGAGGGTATCCTTGTGTGCATCTCTGCATACGGTAACTCTCGGCCCCACTGGCCGGATGGACCGCCGCCTCGGCATCTCCGAGACGAGAGTTCGTGTGTAACACCGCAAGAGGCCACAAGGTAAGTGAGCCCCCACGCAAGCGAATATTGCTCTGCTGGATTGCTATTTGTCTGCTTACTTGTGTTTGTCCTTATTGTAGGCTAAATGCCGTTCTGCTGAATTTCTTCTGTCTGCCTTTGTTTCTGCTTGTTCTTGCATGCCTGCCTTTCGTCTGATTGTTTCTATTTGTATCGGCTATACGCTAACTGGCGTTCGTTTGAATCTGTTTGTACACCGCTCATATATGTTCAGCAACCAGTTCGCGTAGAGATGGACCGGAAAGCTCGGCTTCCCCTCTCTCAACCATTCCCCCATACCTCCCCCATTTCATTCAAGTCCTACGGCGATGTCGTATGCAGGTCTAGGCTAACTCGGGTCGTTCTCCCATTAAACAAAAGTCGTGACCCATAGTGGAGTTCGGCAACCGCCTGACACAACTGAGCAGCCATATTTAGGGAGAGCACAGCTCACCTCCGCGAGAGGAAGGGGGTTAGAAAAGGTGCCTTAAACAAATACTGGGATCACGTCCTCTCCGCGCTGACCCCCACAAGGGCTAAAAAGGTCCTTTACACAAATGCTGGGGACCCACGCCGTTTGCAGGCTGACCGTGGCCGCAGACGCAAAAGACACGGTCGAAAGAACTAAATCAGAAACAACACACTCTCTTCCCCCGCCTCCACCCCGCCGCTCAACCCCACAGATTGGTAAGGTGAGTCCGCTCACTCTGGCAGCCTGGAATGTTCGTTCCCTTTCAGACAATCTGAGGAGCAACCGACCGGAACGGAGGACAGCGCTAATGGTTGGGGAACTGGCGCGGTACAAGGTAGACATCGCCGCACTCAGCGTGACCCGATTCTCCGAACAAGGCAAACTGGAGGAGGTGGGTGCCGGCCACACCTTCTTCTGGAGAGGTCGCCCCAGGACAGAGCGATGGGACGCGGGCGTCGCCTTTACCAATCGGAACGCCATCGTGGGACGACTGGCTTGTTTGCCGCAGGACATCGACGATCGCCTGATGAGCCTCCGCTGCCTCTCCGGGAGGCGAATTCGTCACCATAATCAGCGTCTACGCTCCCTCAATGACCAGCCCTGACGCGTCAAGGAACAAATTCTACGAGGACCTGCACGGACTCCTGGCGACTGTGACGAGGGCGGATAAGTTGATTGTCCTTGGTGACTTCAACGCCCGCGTCCGCACAGACAATACTGCCTGGAGAGGAGTGCTGGGTCCCCATGGCCTTGACTGCGTCTAAAACAATCGCCTACTCTTTCTACGGACCTGCGCAGAACATCGCCTCCTCCTGACCAACACCTTCTTCCGCCTCCCGATGCTAGAGAAGGCCACCGCATGCACTCTCGGTCGCGAGTCTGGCACTTGCTGGACAATGCCCTCGTCCGGAGGCGAGACTAGCGGAACGTGCTGATGGCAAAGGCGACTCTGGGTGCTGGCGGGTGGACCAACCATCGTCTCGTCATCTCGGGGATGCGGATTCGTTTACGGCAACGTAGGGGACCTCAAGGGAAGCGACCCCTAGGTAAGTTGAATATTGCTTTGTTGTCCTTGACTGCCCACCATCTCCATTCCCTCAATGAGCTAACTTAACGGCCAGCAACCCTTCCAGTCGCCGCCGCCGCCGCCCTCCCCCCATCGAGGAGAACGCCTACGTTGAGAACCGATGGTGTCGACTGCGGGACACAGTCCAGTTGACGGTCCCGGCTGTCCTCGGTCGCGCACTTCGCTAACATCAGGACTGGTTCTATGACAACGACGCCGCCATCCGCAACCTTCTCGCCGAGAAGAACCTCCTCCTACGTCAACCACCCCACCGACGACAACAAAGCAGCCTTCTACCGTAGTCGCAGTCTTTTGCAACAGCTGCTGTGCGAGATGCAGGACGCTTAGACGGCTCGCAAGGCAGAGGAGATCCAAGGGCACGCGGACCGCAACGAATGGAAGAAATGCTCTACGATCAATGGTATCTACGGTCCGTCAACCAAACCAGCTGCTCGTCTACTCGGCGCCGACGGAAGTACCCTACTTACCGAGAAAACACAAATCCTACGGCTATGTGCCGAGCACTTCAGAGACGTCCTCAACCGCCCCGCCACCATCTCAGACGCCGCCATCGTCCGTCTGTCTCAAATGGAGACCAACGCCGACCTAGACCACCAGTCTTCTCTCCACGAAACCATCAGGACCGTGCAGCACCTGTCCATCAGGAAAGCGCCCGGATCGGACGCGATCCCTGCTGAGATCTACAAGCACGGTGGCCCCCAACTCATGGATTATCTGACGACGCTTTTCCAGATGTGGCGTCAAGGCGAAGTCCCACGGGATTTCAAGGATGCCGCAATCGTCCACCTCTACAAGCGGAAAGGGAACCGCCAAATCTGAGACAACCACCGAGGTATTTCCTTGCTGAACATCGCTAGGAAAATCTTCACTCGCAACCCTTTCAACTGCCTGAACAACCATCTGCAACAGGGTCTCCTGCCAGAAAACCAGTACGGCTTCCGCCGTCTTCGTGTGACCCCGGACATCCTCTTTACCTCCCGTCAACTGCAGGAGAAGTGTCAGGAGATGCGGACCCACCTGTACTCTACCTTCATGACTCTGACGAAAGCCTTCGACACGGTGGGTCGCGAAGAACTGCGGAAAATCATGCAGAAATTCAACCGTCCCGAACGATTCACTCATATGGTGCGTCAGCTGCACAGTGACATGATGGCGCAAGTCACGGACAATGGAGCTGTCTCAGTGGGATTTGCAGTGACCAGCGGAGTGAAGCATGGCTGCGTCTCCGCGCCTACCCTCTCCAGTCTCATGTTCTCTGCTATGCTGATAGACGCCTACCGTGACTGACGCCCTGGCATCCGCATCACCTTCAGGACGGACGGCCACCTCCTCAACCACCGGAGGATGCACTTCCAGTCACGTGTATCCACAACGACCGTCCATGAACTTCTCTTCGCCGACGACTGCGCCCTCAACGCTACCTCGGAAGGGGACATGCATAGAGGCATCGATGCCTTCGCCACCTCCTGCGACAACCTCGGCCTGATCATTAACACTGAGGAGACGGTGATTATGCATCAACTGCCGCCCGACGCTCCCTACGTCATACCACAAATCAACGTGAACGGCGCACAACTGCGAGTCGTGGACAACTTCACCTACCTGGGCAGAACAATAAATCGACGATGAAGTAGCCCACCGCATTTACAGTCGGCCAAGCGTTCGGCCCAGCCGCTGTCCCCCCGTCAAATTCTGCCTCGTCAACCTAGCCGTCACTGCCGAATTCCCGCTACCATCCTCCCCCTCCTCCTCCCCCCTCCTTCCCCCTCCTCCCCCCCGAAATCCGCTGCGGTGGCTC